GAGAGATTTGTTGATATCTTGTATTTTTTTGGTTTGTTTTTTCTTCCATTTCATTAAGGGATTTTTTCATGTCCTCTTTGAGGTACTCTATCATTTTCATGAAGATGCTTTTAAGGTCATTCTCTTCTGGTTCATCTGCATCATGATGTTCAGGTCTTGCTGGTGTATGGTTCCTAGTCTCCAGTTGTGTCATATTGGGTTTTCTGTTGTTGGTTGTGCTTTTATCTGGTCCTCTTCTCATCTTTTCTTCTGGTGGGTGTAGCAAGAGTTTCTTGCTCTTCTGGTGGGTGTGGGACCAAGGTGCTCTTTTGGTAGATGCAAACAGATCCAATATTCTGATGTCTGCCCTCTTTTCGTGGATGGAGGTGTCAGTGTTACCCGGGTGTCTGCAGTGTTCCAGTGTGCTGGGTCCCACCGGGCGGGCAATTGGAGGCAGAGCGCTGTTGGATCCCCCCAGCTGAGTTCAGATTTTGTGAGCAGATACCTCGTCAACAGGTGTCCCTGACCAGGGCATGGGAACCTGAACTGGAAGTAGCCCCTGGCCTACCTGGGCCAGTGGATGGAGGCAGGGCTGCCTCTGGGTGTTCGGTGTTTGGATCCTGCCGCTGAACTTGGTCTTGCATGCAGGTCGCTTGTGTCAGATGATTCTCTATGGGATTTTTTTTGTGGTATCGTTCATCTCTCTGGCTCTTACAATCCTTATTCCCCATCCTCCTAGGGATTTCCCATGCCCCCACCTAAAGTTTGACTGTGTGTCTGTGTATCTGTTTTCTTCAGTTTCTGGATGAAGCCTCTCTGACGTCAACTGGGCTAGGCACTAATCTATGCGTATAGCAGAATACCATTAGGAATCATTTCATTGACTTTTTTCTTTTGCCAATTGTGTCTGAATCTATCCTAGGTCTTTGGGCTATCTAGACTATACCCACAAGGCTGTGTCAAAGGTGGGTTCTCACTCATGGTATGGGTCTTAAGCTGGACCAGTCTTTGGTTGGCCACAACCACAATTTCTGTGCCACCTTTACCCTAGCACTCTTGTAGGAAGGAAAAATTGTAGGTTGAGGATTTTGTGGCTGGGTTACTGTCTCAGTCTGTCCACTGGAATTCTTTCCTGGTTAAAGGAGATGACCAGTTCAGACTCTGTTTCCCCTATTATTAGGACTCTTAGCTAGGACCACCCTCATAGATTCCTGAGAGTTTCCATTGTATTAGGTTTCTAGCTTGTCCTCTAGATACCTCTCCATTCTAGTGTCATTCCCACTATTCTTTCCCTCTATTCTCCCCCAAACCTGATCCTTCCTGTTCTTCTACTCACACATTCACCTAAGGTATCTATTCTGTTTCCTCTTCTCAGGGAGATTCATGTGTCCCCCTTTGAGCCCTCCCTGTTACTTGTCTGTGGAATATTCCTTTACATGGTATGAATATATGTTGCTGTGATTGGTTTAATAAAGAAGCTGAATGGTCAATAGCTGGACAGGATAAAGTTAGGGGAAAAGCCAAACAGACACAGAGAATGCTGGGAATAAGAAAGGCGAAGCCAGGGGAGTCAAGAGAGACACATAAATAAGCAAGATGAATGTCCTGTGTTGACAAAAGTTACCAGTATGTGTCAGAGGGTAGATAAGAATTATGGGTAAAAAAGAATCATGGTTTAATTCACAATGTATGAATTAGCTAATAACAAGCCTGAGCTATTGCCCAGCACCTATAATTAACATTCAGTCTCCATGTTGGTTATTTGCGAACTGGCAGGTGGGAAAGAAATGTTTGCCTACACTTAGCTTCTCTTTGTCTGTGGATGTAGCATGATTATATTTTACAGTTCAGATCTAAACAGGTGTCTGCATCTAATCCTTCCCCTCAAGACTCTGGCTACCCTTCAGAAGAGTAGGAAGAAAGAGCATAATATCCAGAGCGGTTGGAAGACACCAAAGAAACGGGCCCTCTAAATTAATAGGATTGGTGCACATGGGAACTCACAGAAACTGAGGCAGCATACTGAGGTCACACACATGTTTACAGAAGGCCGTTTATATCCACCTTATGGCTTTCAGTTTGGTGTTTTTATGGGACTTTTGAGTATAGCAACCAGAGTTTCTCTATTTTTTGCATCTTCTCTTGGTCTCTTTTCCTTCTGTTTGTTTGTTCAACTCAAATGTGTTAGTTTTTGCTTTATCTTATTATATTATATACATTTATTTTATTGTTATCTGTTAGAAGTCTGCTTTCTAAACAAATGACCCAGAATAGCCAAAACAATTCTGTACAATAAAAGAACATCAGCAGGTATCACCATCCCTGACTTCAAGCTCTATTATAGAGCTCTAGTGCTGAAAACGGCTTGGTATTGGCACAAAAGTAGACAGTTCGACCAATGGAATTGAGTTGAAAACCCTGATATTAACCCACACACCTATGTATACCTGATTTTTGACAAAGAAGCTAAAGCTATACAATGGAATAAAGAAAGCATCTTCAACAAATGGTGCTGGCATAACTGGATGCTGACATGTAGAAGACTGCAGATAGATACATGTCTATCACCATGTACAAAACTTAAGTCCAAATAGATCAAAGACCTCAACATAAATACAACCACACTGAACTTATTAGAAGAGAAAGCAGGAAATACGAATTGGTACAAGAGGCAGCTTCCTGAACATTACACCAGAAGCACAGACAGTCAGATCAACAATTAATAAATGGGACCTCCTGATACTGAGAAGCTTCTGTAGGACAAAGGACATAGCCAACAAGACAGAATGACAGCCCACGGATTGGGAAAATATATTCACTAACCCTACATCCGACAGAGGGCTGATCTCCAAAATTTACAAAGAACTCAAGGTGCTAGTCTCCAAAGTACCAAATAATCCAATTAAAAAGTGGGGTACAGAACTAAATAGGCAATTCTAAATAGAGGAATCTATAATGTCTGAAAGACATAGGGAAAGTGTTGAACATCCTTAGCCATCAGGGAAATGCAAATCAAAACAACTCTGAGATACCATCTTACACCTGTCAGAATGGCTAAAATCAATAACATCAATGACAGTTTATGTTGGAGATGATATGGCGAAAGAGGAACACTCCTCCACTGCTGGTGGGAGTGCCAACTCGTGCAGCCACTTTGCAAAAACAATAAAGCGATTCCTCAGGAATATGGTAATCAGTCTACCACAAGATCCAGCAATTCCACTCTTAGGCATATATCCAAAAGGAGCACATTCATACAACAAGGACATCCGTTCAACAATGTTCATCGTAGCATTATTTGTAATAGCTAGAACCTGGAAGCAACCTAGATGCCCCTCAACTGAAGAATGGATAGAGAAAATGTGGTAAATTTACACAATGGAGTACTACTCAGTGGGAAAAAAAAAACAATGGGATCGTGAAATTCAAAGGCAAATGGATGGAAGTAGAAGAAACCATTTACACCCAATCACAAAAAGACAAACATGATATGTACTCACTTATATGTGGATTTTAGACATAGAGTAAAAGATTACCAGCCTACAATCCACACTGCCAGAGAAGCTATAAACAAGGAGGACCCTAAGAGAGACATACATGGTCCCCTGGAGAAGGGGAAAGGGACAAGATCTCCTGAGCAAATTGGGAGCTTGCGGGGAGGGTGGAGCAGAATAGGAGAAAGAGAAAGGGAGAGGAGGACATGAGGGAGCAGGAAGATTGAGTCAGGGGAAGAATAAGAAGAGAGCAAGATAAGAGATACTATAATAGAGGGAGACCTTATAGATTTAAAGAGAAATCAGGCATTAGGGAAAGGTCTGGAGATCTACAAAGATGACACCAACTAACAATCTAAGCAACAGAGGAGAGGCTACCTTAAATGCCCTCCCCTGATAATGAGATTGATGACTAACTTATATGCCATCCTATAGCCTTCATCCAGCACCTGGTGGAAGTAGAAGCAGACACCCACAGCTAAACCTTGAACTGAACTGAAATCCAGTTGCTGAGAAGGAGGAGTGATGAGCAAAGGGGTCCAGACCAGGCTGGTGAAACCCACAGAAACAGCTGACCTGAACTCTTTGTCCCCAGACTGAAACCTTCATGGGACTGATCCAGACCCCATGAATGTGGGTGTCAGTGAGGAGACCTCGGAAATCTGTGGGGCCCCTTGTAGTGGATCAGTACTTATCCCTAGCATAGGAAGGGACTTTGGGAGTCCATCCCACATGGAGGGATACTCCCTGAGCCTAGACACAAGGGGGTGGGCCTAGGCTCTATCCCAAAGGATTCAACAGTCTCTGAAGACCCCCTACGGAAGGCCTCACACTCCCTGGGGAGCCGAAAGGGCATGGAATAGGTAGGGTGTTAGTTGGAGGAGGGGCAGGGGTGGAGGGGAGGGTGTGAGAGACCTGAGATTAACTTGTAAAATAATCTTCTTTATAATTAAAATAAAAATAAAACCGGGCGTTGGTGGCGCACCTTTAATCCCAGCACTCGGGAGGCAGAGGCAGGCGGAGCTCTGTGATTTCTAGGCCAGCCTGGGCTACAGAGTGAGTTCCAGGACAGCCAAGGTTACATAGGGAAAGCCCAGTCTTGAGAAACAAAACAAAACAGATTTTGCAAACATACTTAGTATATTCAATGAAACAACATTTTTTAAAAATGTAAAGTCAGGTGTGATTTGCTCACCTTTAGTCCCAGTACTTGGGAGGCTGAGACAGGTAGATCCCAGAGTTCAAGGCCAACCTGGTCTACAGATAGAGGGTCCAAGTCAGCCAGAACTGTACAGAGAAACTCTGTCTCAAAAAACAAAACAAAAACAAATCCAAACAAAAGCAAATGTAGTTCTAATAATTTTTGGTTTGGTTTTGAGACACAGTCTTCTTAGGCACATATCCAAAGACTCTGTATCATACCATAGATATATTTGCTCATTCATCTTCATTCCATCTCTATTCCCCATAGCCAGGAAATGGAAACAGTCTAGATGTCCATTGATTGACTCATGAGTAGGCAATGAAAACATGACACATATACACAGTAGAATTTAATCATCTGTACAGGAAAATAAAATCACAACAACTTCAGATCAATGGAGGCATCTTGAAAATATATTATGTGATGTTTCTCAAACCCCGAAAGACTAACACCACATATTCTTTCTCATATATAGATCCCAGCACTGAAACTTTTGATTTGAGTCTTTCAATTGGACAACATGGAAGCCAGGAAACTGGAACTGGGTTACTGTAGAAAGGGAAGATAGATCTTAATGGAGGGTGTTCTGGTTGATTTTAATGTCACCTGGCTACAAACTAGACTCATTTGATATGAAGCCTCACCAGAAGTATCCTGGTTGCTTTAATGGATGTTTAAAGACCCACCCAGATGCCAAGAGTAAGTCAGGGAATGATCACTTGCCCTGTGCTGGTTTGACATTCCTTCTAACTGTGGGTTGATTTACCCTGTCTCTGATGCTGGTTTCTTCACTGATATCAGAACAAGCATTTCAGGAATCTGACTCTGGATTAGAGATTCACCAGGAAGTTTACAGGCTTTCTGTGCCAGTTTGTAATGCAAAGGTACCCAGCCTTGTGGCCTGAGCAACTACAGTGTCCTTGGCCTGCCTAGTGAGGGATAGTCCATGTGGGACTGGCCTAACTGCTAAGGCATTCTCCTTAATGGATAAACAACAGGTTCTCAGCCTCTCAGATGAAGCTCATGTGTGGATACTATTTCAATGTAAGTTGTCTTAATATTGTATTCTTATTATGCATATATTATAAATATATTTACTCCATTGATTCTATTTCTCTACAGAAATCGTATACAAAGGGGATCAGCAGAAGACAGGTGATATGAAGAGGAAAAAGTGAATATCAGGGCGGAGGAGGGAGTGAGGGAAGCAATTTTGAGGATGTCTGAAAACACTATACTGAATTCTCCTATTTTATTTGTGCTTAAGAAGTTTTCCTGGAATTACTGTATGCAGCAATGAGTCTGTAATGCTCATTCAAGAAGACAACATAACTTATTGTATTCATTAAAGTTCTCTAGAGTCACAGAACTTATGGATGAATCTCTCTATATAAAGGGGATTTATTGGAATGACTTACAGCCTGCAGTCCAGCTACTCCACCCATGACCTTCTGTGAATGGGAAATTGAAGAATCTAATTGTTCAGTCCCACAAGGCTGTATGTCTTAGCTGATAGTCTGTATAGGCTGGAATCCAAAAGTAGATTCCAATGCCAGTGAAGGAATGGATGTGCTAGCAAGAGGAGGGCAAGCAGGTAATGAGCAAAAGCTTCCTTCTTCTATGTCCTTAAGTAGACGCCCAGACGACATACTTCAACTCCAGCATAAAAAAGTATTCTGAGTGTATCTTAGCAAATGAGTGAATTTATTAGGATGGATCATTCAGAGGCAGTTTCATCACTGAAAAGCCCTCCTCAGCAAGGCAATGACTCACCACAGCAGCAGCCATGGAGCCCCTGCATGATTTACAGACACCTCAGCTGTTCTGAAATCCCATTCCTGCATAATGCTTTTTGCTTATATAATCTTGAGGAGAGCTTCATGAACCTATTATGTTCCTGTACTTCCTAAGACTTATGATTTTTTATTTACTTCCTGAGTATTATTTGTTTTATATTTAACATGCATTTCTGCGTGGCGAGTACATATTTACATGTGTGTTGACATGTCAGATTTAGGTTGCACCTTCACCTCTGTTGCTTTCTTCCTTTGTCAGCATGGCAGCCTTTCAGAATCCAGAGCTTGTAGATCTACACCTTCTAGGAAGCCAGCTTGCTCCATGGTGTCACTTTCATGCCTTCTGAGTGTGGAAGGACGAGGTGGTTGCAACACCAACTCATCATTTATGTGGGTTCTGGAAATTGAACTCTGGTCCTCATACATGCATGGCAAGTAAGGCAAGCATAGAGCCTCCAACTTCCTGGATTTTCATTGCAATGTTTGATTGGGAAGAAATAGCTACAAAACCTATTCATATCTTGTGTGTGTGTGTGTGTGTGTGTGTGTGTGTGTGTGTGTGTTCCCAGGGATGCAAGTAGTTTTGAAAGAAAGAGAGGGAGGTAGAGAGGTGAAGAAGTGTTGGGGATGTCCAACTCTTATATATTAAGAATCATGGTTGTTGCTGGGGTTTCTTTCTAGCCTGGTCCCATAACCTCTTTGCCCCAAATAAACTCACAGATGCTATTATTAATTATAAAATTGTTGGTCCATAGCTAGTGATTCTTATTGGATAGCTCTGTCTTGATTATTAACCTTTAACTACTATTCTATATATTTCTACATGCTCGTATCTTACCAGAGAATACCTGGCTCTTCCTAAACTCCCAGTGTCTACATGGCATATCCTTGTGGCACCTTTCTGCCTCTCTTCCCAGAATACTCCTCATCTCTGAGCCCCATCTATCTTCCTGCTTGTATTGGCAAAACAGTGTTTTATTCATCAACCAATAAGATAAACATATATACATAAGGACATCCCCTATTACATGGTTCTTATCTTTATGTTTTCCTCTGGTGGAAGTGAATTTGCTAGTGTAAAAAAATATATCAGAGGGGGAAATTTATCTAGTGATTCCTGGTATTAACCAATTGATATTGTCATGGTCAGTAGCTGTGGGTGAGGTTATTTTTTTGTTTTGATTTTTTTTCTCAGACAGGGTTTCTTTGTATTGTTTTGAAGCCTGTCCTGGAACTTGCTCGGTAGACCAAGCTGGCATCAAACACACAGAGATCTGCCTCCCTCTGCCCTCTGAGTGCTGGGATTAAAGGCATGTACCACCATCACTCCACCAAGGGTGAGGTGAGCTTAATCTACTTTTTTTGAGTATATCTCTCTAAGGAGAACTTTGGCATCATCAGTCACATTGTCAAGGAAGATATGATGCAAGTAAAAGGTTTTCCTAAAGTAAAGACCTGTAGCAAGGAGCCCACCATTAGCTGAGGCAAATTTCTCCAAATATTTCAAAAATGTCTCTCCTAAGGTTTCTTCTTTCTTAATTTCCAACAAATAAGGAGATTTAATGATTTTTTTCAGTTGTTCAACAGGAACTTGGGAATCCTTTGCCATGGATTCCAGGGATTCATCATCCACTCCAAAGAGGACACGATAGTTGTTTAAACTTGCTGTCTGATTTTTCATATTATCTCTGAGGATGCCCACTGCAGGAGCAGTAAACAAAAATCCATCCTTGAAGGCTTCCAACCAGATAGTCTGCTGCATGGACTCGCGCTTTCTGTCAATGGCTGCCTCTGTAATATTAGTCATGGAAAGTGTAAAATTGTGGCGCTTTTGAGCAGGAAGATTCTTTATCAGGGTGTCCATCAGGACTGGAAAATCATAGTCAGATAAATAATGGTTAGAGATCAAGAAAATCTGTGGTGCATTCATGTTATTCTCTCTAAAGCTACCCACATAGTAGCTTCGGATCTTCTCCAGGATCGTTTCTCTGTCAAAGGTACGTGGTTTGGATTTTTGTTCATTTTTTAAATCCTCATCCACCTTAGTTCTCACCATGTAGTAATTCTTTTTCATAGATTGGATTGCTTTGGCAAGGTCTAGTTCAAGACGTGTAAAACGTGTGGCAGAAACAATAATGAAGAAGTCATATTTTTGGAATTCTACTTTCTCCAGATACTCTTTTGGTGGGAATTTCATAGTTCCAATGCCAGGCAGGTCCCATAAAGCCAAAGTTTTAATTTTGGGGTGTTCGTATTTAGTTATCTTCATGGTTGTCTCTACTACCCCAATTTCAGCTGCACCTTTGTCTTCAGGTCCAATCCCCCTCAGGGCATTGATGAAGCTGGATTTCCCTGCTCCAGACTCTCCGGTCACAGCAATGTTTATTGGGGCCTTATCAATATTTTTCAGAGCATCACTGATTACAGAGTTTGCCCCCAGAATGTTTCCTTTTTTCAGATGAAATTCTATTAAATGGATGGTTTCCTCAGGAATTATTTTGTTTTCTTTCTTAATCTTCTTAAAATATGCAGTGAAGTTGGTCTCTGAATCTCCATGGTCTTCATTCTGAGCAGAGAATAACTGACCCATAGTTGTTTTGAAAAAGGACCCTGAAAGAAGGAAGGGAGAGTGAGTGCAAGAGACTGAAGTTGCCTTTGTGTTTAGCACTGTATTCTCTGTGCTATAGCATAAGTTACATTGTGATGTTAACTAGTTTCCATGTATTTTGCTTTTTTTTGTAAGAAAGATATAAGCTATAGTCTTTCTTGAGGAGAAAATCTCATTTGAGGAATTGCCTCCATCAGATTGTTCTGGCGGGTTGCCTATGGGGCTTTTTCAGGATTGAGTATTGAGTATTGTGAATGGCAGCCCCTGTGCAGGTGATCCTGGGTAATTTAAGCAAGCATTAATGAGCTGTAATTGAATGTTTTCATCGCCTCACCAGCTCCTCAGTTATAACATGGAGACATATTATTAATTAGATAATATCAGCTGATAGCTTAGGCTTGTTTCTAACTTGTATTATAATTTATAAATTAATGCATATCTTTTAATCTACATTCTTTTAAATTTAATTTTCATTTGTTAATTTTATTCATTTTTTTATTTAAATTTTTTTCATTTTGCATACTAACCCCAGTTTTCTCTTCCTCCCCTTTTCCTATCCCCACTTTCCCCCTTCCCATCCTCCCATACACTCATCAGAGAGTGTAAGGCCTCCCTTGGGGAGTCAACAAAGCTGGCATACCAAATTGAGGTGCAACCAAGCCCTTCCTCCCTGTATCAAGGCTGAGCAAGGTATCCCACCATAGGGAATGCTCTCCAATAAAGCCAGTTCATTAACCGGAGATAGGTCCTGGTCCCACTGCCAGGCCCCACCTAACAGATCAAGCCATTTAAATGTCACCCACATTCAGAAGTCCTAGTTCAGTCCCATGCAGGTTTCCCAGCTATCAGTCATAGTTCCTAAACTCCCACTGGTTTGGGTCAGCTGTCTCCGGTTTTCCCCATCACGCTCTTGATCCCCCTTGTTTATATGATTCCTTTCCCTGTCCTCAACTGAACTAAAGGAGCTCAGCCCACTGCTTGACTGTGAATCATTATGTCTGCTTCCATCAGTTACTGGATGTAGTTTCTATGATGATAATTAGGTTGGTCACTAATCTTATTAAAGCAGAATACTGATTAAGACACCTTCTCCACTTTTGCTAGTAGTCTTAGCTGAGGTCATCCTTGTGGATTCCTGGGACTTTCTCTAATACCAGGTTTCTCACTAACCTCATGTTGGTCCCCTCTATCTTTAATTACTCTGCTCCTCCATTCTTCTCTCAACTTCCCATGCCTTCTTGGCCCCTCATCTTCCCATTCTCCTTCCTCTCCCTTCTACCTTACTCCAGTTTACCCAGGAGATTTTAATTCTCTTCCCTTCCTTGGGCCCTCCATGAGTGTCCCATTTAGGGTTCCCCTTTTTACTTAGCTTCTCTGGGGTTTTGTATTGTAGCCTGATTATCCTTTCCTTTAGGTCCAATGTCCATTTATGAGTGAGTGCACACTGTGTTTGTCCTTTTGGGTCTGGGTTACTTTTTTTCTAGTTCTATCCATTTGCCTGAAAATTTCAAGATGCCAGTGGTTTTTTTTTTTTCTGCTGAGTAATACTTCATTATTACTGGTAAAGGTACCACATTTTCTTTATCTATTCTTCTGTTGGGCATTTAGGTTGTTTCCAGATTCTGGCTATTATGAATAAGGCTGATATGAAGATAGTTGAGCAAACATCCTTGTGGTATGATTGTGCATCCTTTGGGTATATGCCCAAGAGATGTATTGGTGGGTCTTGAGGTAGATTGATTCCCAATTTCCTGTTAAACTGCCATACTGATTTCCAAAATGGCTGTCTGAGTTTGCACTCCCACCAGCAATGGAGGAGTGTTCCACTTACTCCATACCTTTCTAGCATAAGCTGTCATCAGAGTTACTGATTTTAGCCATTCTGATAAGTATAAGATTGTATCTCAGAGTCATTTTGTTTCATATTTCCCTGATGACAAAGGACGTTGCACAATTATTTACATGACTTTCAACCTTTTGAGTTTCTTCTGTTGAGAATTCTCTGTTTAGATTTGTACCCCATTTTTAAATTGTATTATGTGATAATTTAATGCCTAGTTTCTTGTTTTTTTTTTTTTATATGTTTTAGAGTTTAGCCCTCTGCCAGATGTGGGGTTGGTGAAGAACTTTTCCCTTTCTGTAGGCTGCCCTTTTGACTTATTGGACATATCTATTGCCTTACAGAGATTCTCAGTTACAGGAGGTTCCATTTATTGCTTGTTGCTCTCAGTGTCTGTGTTACTGGTGTTATATATAGGAAGTGGTCTTCTGTGCCCATGCGTTCAAGGCTACTTTCCACTTTCTCTTCTATCAGGTTCCATGTGGCTGGATTTATGTTGAGGTCCTTGATACACTTGGACTTGAGTTTTTGTACAGGGATAGATATGGATCTATTTGCATTCTTCTAAATGTCAATATTCAGTTATGCCAGCACTATTTGTTTAATTGAGGGCTAGTACAAATGTGTTCTAGCTTCCTATCTATTGTTTTGGTAAACACTGCAACCAAAAGCATTTTTAAAATAAAACAATTTTGAGGGTTTACACACTCTGCTCACATCACTGGGGAATCAGAGCAGAAACTCTTCAGGAATGGAGGCAGGAACAATGGGAGAATGCTGTTTACCGGCTTGTTTCCCATAGTTCAATGTTGTGAAATAATCTTTTTGGTCACTGTGAATATATGTGTTTGCAAGTTGTATTCTGATTAGTTAATATAAAGCTAAATAGACACTCCCCACTTACACCAGGAAGAATCGGTAAGTGTCTGAGCTCCCAACTGGACAGCCTTGCTTTCTAGGCTCTGGACTACAGGTGCACATACCATGCTCCAACCTGTCAAAAACAATGCCCATCACCAGTCAGCAACATCCTCCCCACCCAACAATCATCTGCTGTATCAACAACTAAGAAAGGCACACACCCTACTACACCTGGAGGGAAGCAACCACAAGAGCCACAGACCCCACCTGAACCAACTGGAAGAAGAGAAGAATAGATGGCAGTGTAAGGATATATTTAATAACATAAAGAACAATATGGTAGCATCAGAAACTAGTAGTTCTACAACAGCAAGACATGAACATCTCAATGCAGAAGAGGCAGAAGAAAACAATATTTAAAGTAACTATGATGATGATAGAGGCCCTTAAAGATGAAGTGAAAGATTCCCTAAAAGAAATGAAAAAATACAAAAAAATGGAAGAAATTTATAAATTAGTTAAAGAAGCCAAGAAAAAACAAACAAGTAAAGGGTACAGTCCAAGACTTGGAAATTGAAATAGAGGCAATAAAGAAAACAAAAACTGGTGTTTCTCAGGAAATGGAAAATCTGGTTAAACAATCAGGAACTACAGATGCAAGCATAACAAGCAGAGTGTAAGATGGAAGAGAAAAATCTCAGGCACTGAAGATACAATAGAGGAAATAGATTCATCAATGAAAAAAATGCTAACTCCTGGCAATAGGATCCAACACCAGGACCCCAGTGGCAGTTCTGTCTCCATCCGCCGGCCCAGCGGAACCTAACACACCCGAACACTGTCAACGCCCTGGTAACAGTGACACCTCCATCCACGAAAAGAGGACCAACATCAGAGTATTGGATCTGTTTGCATCTACCAGAATAGAACCTTGGCCCATACCTACCAGGGGAGAAAGAAACTCCTGCTACAGCCACCAAGAAACGATGAGAAGAGGACAGGGTAAAAGCACATTCAACAACAGAAAACTCAATATGACACAACCGGAGACTAGGAACCATACACCAGCAAAACCTGAATATCACATGCAGATGAATCAAAAGAGAATGACCTTAAAAACATCTTCAGAAAAATGGTAGAGGACCTGAAAGAGGACAGGAGAAAATAACTTTAAGAAATGGAAGAAAACACAAACCGAAAAATACAAGATATCAACAAATCTCTCAAGGAAACAGTTCAAGACCTAAAAACTGAAATAAAGACAATAAAGAAAGCATAATCTGAGGGAAGGATGGAAATAGAAAAGCTGGGTAAGGGATCAGGAACTACAGATGTAAGAATAACCAACAGAATACAAGAGATGGAAGAGAGAATCTCAGGAGTTTAAGACATACTAGCAAAAATAGATTCATCAACCAAAGAAAATCTTAAGTCCAACAAAATATCCCTATCACAAAATATCCAGTAAATATGGGATACCATGAAGAAACCAAACCTAAGAATAATAGGTACAGAAGAAGGTGAAGAAATCCAACTCAAAGGCGCAGAAAACATATTCAACAAAATGATAGAAGAAAACTTTCCCAACCTAAAGAAAGACATGCCAATGAAAATACAAGAAGCCTACAGAACACCAAATAGACTGAGACAAAAAAAGGTCTCCTCACCAAATAATAATCAAAACACCAAACATACAGAATAAAGAGAAAATATTAAGAGCAGCAAAGGAAAAAGGTCAAGTAACCTATAAAGGCACACCTATCAGACTCACACCTGACTTTTCCATGGAAACTCTGAAAGCCAGAAGGTCCTGGATAGATATTTGACCTACACCAAGAGACCATGGATGCAAGCCCAGACTACTATACCCAGCAAAGCTATCAATCATTGTAGATGGAGGAAACAAGATATTCCATGACAAAACCAGATTCAAACAATACATATCCACCAATCCAGCATTAAAGAAAGTTCTGGAAGGAAAACTGCAACCCAAGGAACTTAACTACAACCAGAAAAATATAGGCAATAGATAACCCCACTTTCCCAACAGCCAAAAGGAAAAAGGGAGAGAATTCCACACATAATTTCAACACCATCACCAAATCAAAAGCAAACAAGAATGAACAATCAATGTTCATTAATATCCATCAACATTAATGTTCTTAACTCCCCTATAAAAAGACACAGATTAGCAGAATGGATAAGAAGACAGAATCC